CGACCCTACATTTAAGTACATGATTATTTTTATCGCAAAAATTGATATATAAAAATACAAAATCGTTAAAGGTGAATTAGAATTTCAATTGTATAGCAATGGATATGTATGTGTAGGTACGTGATTCATATTTGTAAATATTTATTAGCTGATAGTATATAACACTCGCACTAAGATCGGTCTTAGATCGGCGTTACATTCTCTACCACAAGGTCACGACCACAAGGTGACGAAAACAGAATCTGTGGCGAGTAATTTAAATAATCAAGAATTCCGTTTATATTCTTTATTTAGTTTATTTAGAACCTCCAAAGAAACCTAAATGACAGTTGCAGAGGTGTATAAATGTCGGAATAAAATCAAATGTAAATTGTAGCTAGTTCTTATATACTTACTTCGACTTTTTTGGAAATATACTCTTTAAAAGTATGACGTTATATTTTAGTAATCATTTGGCGGCTGTTATCATAAAATGATAATGCCAGTCCTATAACGGTATAGTGTTAGATGTGAATCACATAATCATAAATAATAATCATTAATCTACTATACTATTGTGTTGAAGTGCATATTAGTGTTGCTTATCTAAATGATGATTGTTGTTTAATTAAGTGTTGGTATAATTAAATAATAGATGCTTAATACTTTTTACTTATGAACCAAATTACAAAAGACACAGTGAATAAGTCAATGTTACGTCCCAAATATGTAAATAGTTTACGGTATTTCACAAAAGCAAAACAACGCCGTTACTCCGGCGAAATGATAACAATTTACCTGGAATTGTTTGCAACTTTAAGTTGTGAACTTGGTGATTCAACACTCGATGTGCCAACTTTAAGTTGATTTAGTATAGTCAATACATATGAGTCATTCGACCATTCTACTTAAAAGCTGCGGTAATGATCACATTCGTAAGTTATTAGTTTGTTACTTCAGTTCTCAACAATATTGATATATTTATTAAATCAATTGCTTATAATTATTTAAAGTGCGGTAACAGATTGACCGGAAACGTGGCAATTTAGCTGTCATTGAGATAACCCCATTTCCTGACAGTGTTTCAATGGTAGGAACACGCATTATCGGTCAGTTATGTGCTTTTTATACGATAAATATATTTGTTATTTTACAAATTACATTTGATATCAGCATTAAATTATAATAACAAGGTAATTCGATCATTTTATTCTATATTATTTTAAATTTATGCATCTTCTTCGTAGCATGAAATTTAATTACATTTTGGTTGTGTTCCTAGATGTTTATTATTTGGTATCTCATTACAAAGGATCTTAAGGAGTTTACGATCCAAGCGATTGGTGGGATTGTTAGTCTAAGTCTAAGTCTAAAATGCCTTTACCATAGCTTCTTTTACGTTTATTATACACAACTATATATATTGCTATATAAATAATGTTACGGGGAACACACGCAAACTTGCAATTGATATTGATACGAGAATATATCCATTGCGTTCAACGTAATCGCATCTAATGATGCGTAAAATAGAGACAATAGGACCAACTTTACGCATTAAATGCACTGATACAGACAAGATTTCCCAATGGAGTGTCGTTGTAAGGTAACAAACTCCATATATTAAATTCACCCTACTATTAACAACCACCAATCAACAACAACACCCTCGTGTATTATGTTTAGGATAACGTTATACTTTTACGGTATGGTTATGGTGAATATTGAATGATTAAAAAAATAATTAAATTTACAATAATCTCAGCAAAAATGCAAATATATGTATAATTTATACACAATGCATGAATATTGTTCAAGTCTGAAAATATTAAATTAAAATTTTATCCTTTCCGACATATTGTTATATTTGGAAACACACTGAACTTGGATAGACGAGAGATAGGGGTACAAATGCTAACCGTTTAAGTTGTTGGAAGGTAAAATATTTTCAAATAAGTCTTCAATCGCCACTGGAACTGACAAACAATTCGCATATAAACAATATAGAACAGATTGTGTTATATGGGCTCATCGTAGTTGTTACTGTCACGATTGAGGAATATGGTTTACTTATCATAAAATCAGGAAATATACTGGTCAGACAAAGATCTACTAGATTGAATCAATCACCCACGCACTGGTGCTCCATATTTAGACAAAAAGGCGGTCTTATTTTTGGCTTGTTATTTTCTATAGAAAGTTACAGAAAATAGATCACCTGTATGAGACCGACAACAAACTAAGGACACACCAAATACAAAAATATACATTCCAATTTAGAGTAACGTATATAAAATGTAATACACATAGCGTTTCTTTCCTTACCAAGTATAAACATTGAATACAAATAAACTCCGTGCCGAATAGGTAATTCTATATAGACAATTCAAGCATGATGCCCTCAAAATATTTTGTATTACATTAAACATTATACATATGTTTACATAAAACAAATATATAGAAAGTTTAGATTCGTGATAGAGATAGAAATGTGACTAATATGGAAACCATTACTAAGTGATGAGCGTAGAAGATTTAGCGTTTGGACCTTAACAATTCCTTTCACAAATCCCGCAGTCATTAATCATACTCATATTTAAAGGCCATTGGACTCAAATTTATATAAACAAAATCATCTTAGTCATGATGTTTTTATATGCATTTGTTGGAGAACACTAATTGTATCAGTTTAAGCTTACAAAGGTTCCACTTTCACATATATTGAAGCAATTTTATCTTTAATGATTTTAAAACTTTAGTATTAAACAATATTTAGTGTAACACTAAATATAATGTAACTAACGTAATATTTTAAAAAGATATATGCAACCCAAACGTAATGATACATTTGCGTTGCGGTTAAATCTGAAGAAGGAAGAGGAAATAAACGAGTGAACTAACACATTCAATATATGATGAAAAGAAATAAAGAACAAAAAAGAGAGGTGAATTTAAATCACCTGCTTAGTATGTAAAGAAACACCTGCCGACAGATGGTCGACAAAAAACCACCGTCCCCTTTGCTTTGGGTTTCGACTTTGAAAAATCTTTATTTATACAAAATCCAAGAGCAAGTTGTAGTGTAGTCCCTACACATTGAAATACTAAAACATTTCGAGATTAAGAAATATTAAAACCCAACCAATACGTTGCATTGTCGTGTCGTGTGGTTGTATAGGAGAATTACGTAAAATTCAAAGAAAAAAAAAGATCGCGAGCAGAGTGGACTGGCATAGGTCCGGTTTGATGGTGCGCGTCGGCGACAGCAAGCCTGGAATGTGACCCAGACCAACGGCATCGACGGGACTCGAATGGTGACTCATGTGAACGTAAGTTTACTTTTTTAAATAACAGTTGAATAACGCCGAACCCTTGTTTAGAAAGTTCACAAAATATTTCGGCGTGGGTGAATAGATAAACAGGATTACACTACACCTACAGTGCTTTTTATTTAGTCATACGACATCCCACATTACAATTCAATGTGAATGATAGACCTGCTGCATTCAAAATTATTGAATATGATTAAATTTATTGCCCCTTCAACATTTTTGACCACGTTTCCAAACTTAGAGATTTTTCAAAGACAAAGCCAAAGTAAAAAAGTATTGTAATAAACTATCCAAAGAAAAGTATGTAAAAAAAGTTTCAATCCATTTAAATATTACGTAAAATTGGTTTATCTGTTATCGTTTGATGTAATTATATCTAGTGTAAAAGATATAAAATTTGGTAACGGTAACAGTATCACAGAATAATTGCAGATATAAGCATATATGACGTTTTTGAAATAGATAGTGATTCGTTCGAGAGTAGAAAAGGCAACATGGCAACTAAAATGGTTTTATCTTAACTCTCTCAAGGATCTCTCAAAGTAAAGCTGCTAACTCCGTAAGAAGATTAACGGCCAGCCTAGCAGCGATACGAATTTATATAGCGGACGAGTATGGTGTATTTACGGCACAACTTCGTGCTACTACCATGTTTTATATCTTAGAAATCTAAAATTATTTGTACTCAGACATACGAAAATGTTAAAATAAAGAATTACTGTAAATAATTATAAAGTAAGAAAATTATAAAAGGAACGAAAATAAAAGTTTAAAAATTATATCACGTTCCAACTCACTCGTTCTTCTCCGCTAATCTGATGTCTTCTAACAATTGTTCATATCTCTGTGTTTATACATATTCCATAAACACGGCAAATGTGTGTTAAATACACTAGGGATGCGAGTGACCTCAGTAAGAATTACTGAGGTAGGCATCCTCTTGCCGATTCGTATTTATCGTTGAGGACAGTAAAATATAACCCATTTCTTTACGGATTACGGATATCCGGCAATAGTCTATCTTATCTAGATGCTATATTATATAATTCTTTGTTCTTCAGATTTTTATATTTATATTTTAACAATATACCAGCTAAGGATTTTAGTAAATATTTATATAAAATTCGTAAATTCAAGTAACCCACAACAATAGTAAAATGGACAATTACGGATATAGTTTTATGGCTTACCTCCATCTCATTTTTTGTTACTTTTAGTGCAGTATTATATTTCATTATTATAACAATACACAACCAAACATCTGGGCACCTTTTTGAGCAACAAGTTATGTAGGCACGTGCAAGGGACTAAATAATAACTTAGGGGTTGATAGGCTTGGGTATCGACTGAACTCATTGTTTATCTACTCGACCGTACAGAATGAGGGAAAAGTTGGATGAACTTAATATGTTAATAGTTTCTACATATATTGTATGTGTGTACATACATATATAGTACATACACCTGGCTACTTCTTACTATAGAATTACTAATTCGTAACGCTGATTTCAATGTAATCTAATAACTTAAGCAAAACAATGATTCGTATTGAGGCATATCTATATCAGTTATCTCATTGATAAATACGTGATTAAACATCCTAGTCTAGCATAGCCTTTTTACATTCCAACATTCTATATAAATTCGCAATAAATATTACGAAATTAATCCTCACTTTTTCATACTCACAACTTGCTACATAAGAAATCTTATCGATATGCGAGTTATACCATCAAACATCAATAAACAGTTATGCATCACTTATTAGATATTAAAAAAGAAACAAAGAGCACAAATAAATATGATTCGCACTTAAATATTTTTCGATCACTTTTTTCACAGTTTATCACTCAAACACCATAAACTCGCGGCGTAAGAACTTGGTCGAACTGTGAAGCGACCGGCGAAGGGAGCGATCTTGCTCAAATAACTTTGTTGACAAGCGGCACGGCTGTATGGCAAGCGTGCTGCGTCGGCCATGTTCAGAAACTTCGACGATCTCCGGCCAATGTCGGCTATCTTCGGGTAATACATTACTGGTAGTACTGGTCAACTATGTATACTTATCTATATTATATATATGCATTTGATCATCGGTATCAATATATCATATGATTATCTGAGATATATTCTATATTGAATGGCCTATAATCTCAGTATATTTTTAATCAAATTTTAGGTAAATTTCTCAGATAATGTATCGGATAACCTATGAAAAATTTGATAAAATGCATCAACGTCATCATGCAAATATCATACATACCTGCATCTTATAAGTAAAATTTTAAAATAACTACAGGTTTATATGAATAGAGTATGTACTCTATGAGCCCACACTCTAAACTAGTGAGTTTGACACAGGATTTCCTGAAACTCTACAATCCGGTGAAGAGCAACATGTTCATAGTTTTCTTTATATACATACAACACACTAAAGACTAAGATTGATGAACAAAAAATAGAACTTTATGTAATTCCACCACATCTATATTAGATATGGCAGTCTTGTATTACAAAGCTGTCATATGGCAACTTTGTGACAAATATGTAATTTAAAATATTTAGTAATGTTCAAAATCATCTCAGTATATACACACAAAGAATTAGTCTAGCTATTCAAAGAGATACGAGAACGTAGGGAACGTTGCCAGTATCTTCGGAACTTTGCCTAAAGGGACCTCTTTTAATAATATATTTTAGTTATTGTATTATATTTTTTAAGCTTTTTAATTTTAAGTTGTAGTTGTATAATTAAGTTATGTAAATGATATAATTAGTTTAGTATTGTTGTCTTTAAAATTAAATAGTTATTAATAAATGTAATTATGTATTAAGTTCAATAAAATTTTGAACATTACTACATATTTTCAACGAATGGATTTCACATATTACATAAAAATACAAAGAGCCCATAAAAATATATTAAATGGAAATAATGTGATATTTTTAACAATTACCAGTACTAAATATTTTCTCTCTTATCGTTATCACATCGTTATCAATTAAACAAAATTTCACATGTCTCTAGGAAACGTTTAGTATAATTTTTACTTCGTGAAGACAAGCCCATTATAAATTCTTTGTTCTATTAGTCATAAAATCCACAGGTATAATACATTCAGAACGGTCTAACTAATACTGCTGTGACCACTATGTAATTTTTTAAAGTTTAAAAGAAATACAAACAGATGCTCGTATTTTAAAATTTGTATATAACAAAGACTGCGTATTTGATATTCATAAAAGAATATTTTCTTAAATTAATTATTTTCTTCAATATTATTAACCCAATAATATTTTATATGTATCTAAATTTAATACAAATGTGGTTAAATTGGGACCAAAATATACCCGCCTTCTAAAATACTCGCAATAAAATCCCCAAATACCTGCTCTCCTGTTGAGGACAAGAGAGTGAGAGAGTGTTTATTATTATATTATTTTTATTGTCATTATAGTTTTCTTATAGGATATATATATTCGTATAAGTAGTTTATACTTATTAGGATTTGAAATTATAGAAAGTGTATTGCAAGGCAGTTCTGAATGCTGGCATGCTTTTTCTCTTTTTCTATTCGCCGGGGGCGCAAGTACATGAATAAATCACGATACCAAGACTCGGCATTATGCGAGAGGCGATCGGTCATGAACCCACTAAACTGGTTCTTGCGGTATTGTTCGTTGAGCCAAGGGCTACGTATAGATAGTATATATATTAATATTATTAATCATTGTTATGACTATATTGGACCAATGTACACAGTCTAAGTAGATATTTTGGGATTGTTTATCCAAGGCTATTTTGTAATATTTTATTTATTTATTTCAGGTAACTAGGCCCATATTATAAATACCTTATAGATTAATATATAATATAAACCTATAACTTAATATTTAAGAACGAATATATTGATATTGTCTATGTGGTCACGGCACTGAAGACGGCAATCTGCCATGGTAGCGCCGATATACCACACCTTTAATGTTTGTAACACAGATGTGAAGAAATGTAGCTATATCTTACACGACAGTAAAAAACTATCCAAGAAGGTAGGCTACCTTCTTCACCATTATTAATTAAAAATAACCCATGTCCCCAATGTGCAGTAAAATTTTGTGTTTGTGCTTGATAAAGATACATATACAAAAGTAAGTAAGCCTTAAACATACAATTATTGAATAAATGTTATGAAATATTATATCGATAACTGGTCGATGATTGATAAAATATCATATTTCATGATAGAGTAAATTAAAAAGATCATAAATAGCAGAATACAACGAATGTCATTGAAATATCGTAGATGGAGACAATCATTTTTGGGATTTTTTACATTCATTCATTACATTCTTTTATTGTAAATACGCAGTACGCTGATACAGAAAACTGTAGTGTCGTCCGACAGAAATATTCACCAGGTACATTATTCGTACACTGTACCTAAGTAGGTACAGTGCAATGCAGATTCTAGAGTACTCCGTCTGTTTATTTCTTTTATTTTAGTATAAGTTCTTGTCTTAATTATTTTACAGTTCGTTTATCCCTGAACATGTCACACATCTGTACACGATAATTCACACACTGTTCCTTCAATTATTCGTTCGTTATTGAAACAGAGACAATGCCCAGAGAGACATAGCGAAACTAAAAACTCTACCATACCAACAAACGAAGGAAAGGCAAGGCCGTGTCTATTTTCGTAGGTACAATAGCCAGTATTTGTTATCGTACACTCACATCATAAATTACATTAGGGTCCGAATTAGAAATTATTCAGGTCAGAATTTGTATATTCAACTCAAATCTATAAATTATGAGTGATGATTTGTAAGCACATGATATCATATACCTGATACCTTATAAGTATCATACGTACACTATCAACTTAATCATTTTACAATTGCATTTTTATTAATAGTTTCAACAATTATAAATTGTATTGAGTGGCGCCGAATTCTTGGGCTTAGATTCGTTACATCCCAATGAAACTCTACGTAAATGTAATCGACAATATGACGCCATCTAGTGGCGAGTAGAGAACATAACAGTTTACTCAAAGTAAGTATAGAGGACGTTACCTGCTACTTTGCGCGTATTTACTGTTAGAATTTTGTTTTCTGAATTATCCAAAACTTACCTGAAACAAAAATGATTACTATAAATAAAAAATATTTTATGACAAAATTAGTAGAAGTATAAAAAGCGGTAGCTACGTGTAGTAGCTAGCCACATAATTAATGATATTTATAATATACCAGCCCTCAGTACAAATATTAAAAAATGTATTACAGACATTACAAAATATTATATATCGTGAATAAAGTCTACCGTTTTATAATTTAAAAATATCAGCGGCGTATACCTACTACCGTATAACAGTGAACTATCATTTCCTGCATTCGACACAGTTTTCACATATGATAACGACGCTACGCACTACCACCATACCTATGTTGTAACTTTGTTGTAAAAGTAGGTACACTTATTACTACTACCAGATAGTACGCATTATAATAAACTGCAGGAACTAAAAGCAATTGACATAGATTTAAAAGTTTAGATCTCAAACTTCTCAAATATTATTTCATGCAGTTCAATATTAAATGGATGATGTTTTCTTCTTTACCTTTTAGCGAATAACTACTATAGACATATAGACTCTGTTTTGCTTGCTGAAAATTTTCATAATGATCGACCTACATGTATAATTTGAAATACAATAAAATCTAATGCAAAAAATTAGTGTAGTATTATTAACTATTGCACTTGTTTATTTATGGTTTATATTTGCGATGTTAGCAATAGATAAATATGTAATAACAATCACAAAATCTCAAATTCAGCAGAGGATAACTAACAAGAAAATTAGTTCTTCCTCATTTAAAAACATATTGTACTCATAGTTATACAGGCGAGTTATTTAGAGTAGAATACAGCAACGTTGAGCATAATAACCTAAATAAACAAACCAACTAAATGACACCAACCGACATTGAATAATATAAACAGTACCACAGAAATCACGTCCCTCAAGTGTCGCGCTATTCGTAAGGACTGAGGCTTAATCCCATCGTAACCAATAACTGCCATATCCTCAATCTTACATACAAGCTGCTCGGCGAAAATGAAACAGTGGTATCTACGCAACAGAACCTTGAACAGTACAATGTCTACCTCGGTTAAAAATTATATGTATGTAATTTTGATGCATTAGTAATATATCGAATCACCATTTGTTAATCTCAAAGTCATTTAGAGATAAGATGGGACGGATGACGCAACGATACGTCGCCGGAAACAAACGCAGTTCCAGAAATCATAACAAAAGGTGGCAGGCACGAATGTTATCAAAGTAATACTGTAATTGAAATCGTTTCAGCAACCACGTTTTTTGTACACATGAGTCAGTCAATTTATGAATGAGGGTATGATGGTCTGAGCCGCGAACTCGTCTGACACCAATTCCGTGCCAAATATATAAATAGAATATTACAGTGCAATGTACTAACAATTTACTATAGGCATTTTAAGTATTTTGTCACTCTTCTCATTCTCACTCCATTTCATTATTCATGTCAAATCATATGAGGGCATTATAAACTAAGAATATATTTTTGAAAGTAATGTATGACAAATAATAACACAATACATAATCTTATATTAGTCGTTTTACGTCTTTGTAATATCGTAATATTACCCCATTACTAGTAATGTACCATGACAGGTGACTTCCACGTGTTTCTCCTGGACACCAACGTGATATATTCATGTTGAATTTACCACGATGGGCTAACTGACCTGACCTGATCACGTTCATGTTATCGTCCTCCACCGGTACCCCGCCAGCGTAAACCGTTAGCGCAGGTGGGTGCAACATCCCATTATCATCCATAAGAATATCGTAATATTTTATGCAGTTGTT